AATAAAACTTACACATTTCTCCATTTCACTAAGTCAGTTTAGTCATAATGTAGTAAAACTAAAGACAACTTACAGTACTGGATATGACACGTTCCAGTGTATAAATCAAAAAAAAAATTTTGAAAAACTGTCTTATGCAACAGAAAGCCTTAATTATAATAAAGAATCTATGGTAAACTGTACAATTATGTACTCCATTAACAGATTTACCAAATGACAAATACCATCTGTCCCGTGCACTTAGAAACCCTGAGCACCACTTACTAGCAGTTCACTTAGATCTCTCTACTTGCAGCAGTCTGAAGCAAGTTCTTCTACATTTTAAATTCAGTTTCCATCCTAAAAATGTTTCAGTGCTATAACTTGGTGCAAAGGTTCAGGGATTTAGTGTTGTTGTTTTAAGGAACTTTTTGTTGTTGTTATTATTATCTAAGTTTAAGAAACAGAATAGAAAGGAACAGTGAGGGATACCAGTATTCATTCTCAATGGAACCAAACAGTTCAGGGTTTTTTGGATGACGGGGTGTGGGGGTTGGATCTCCTAGAGTGTTCAACATTACTGCCTAGTGATGCAGTGCTGCTTGGTGACAGCAGTACTGGGAGCACTAGAACAACTGACAACCCAGTAGTGCTTGTGCTGCTTGGAAGTTATCAGGGCTGGTAATTTGATGGGGATAATCCCCTTCCATTTGCCAAAGACTGTTTAAAGAATGAGTGTATAACCAAATCTGGGCAGGAAAATCTTAAGTGGAAGTCAGCTGAGAATGCTTCTTTGAATAGGTTTTCCCATTGGAAGTTAAAAAAAGACAATTTCCCTTTCTCTGGACATTACTATCACAGCTGGATATAAAAGTCAGAAATTGCTACAGACAAATCATTCAAGTCTCAAAATGAAACCAACACCAAGGTTGAGGAAAATGGGTAGAAGAATCTAGGTCTCTGGTAACATTTTTGGGCCACTGAATCAAACTGCTAATCTGGTCTATTTCTGCAGAGACTTCCAATGTGAGAAATACTGTTTTAGAAAAAAATTGTTAGGGAGCTGGAACACATGACTGATCTGCACAGGGTCCCAATAGCACATGGCCTCCCTGGAACAGTCTAGTATTGTCCTGGTGTTTTCAGCACCACTGGGAAATCCTCCAAAAAACAAATCCGTTTCTTATATCCAAAATATTCCTAAGAAATACAAATAGTTCACCAAGATAAAGCAAATAAATAAATAAATAAATACTCCGTTAGCACAAACTATTTTCCAGTAGGCAGTATTTAGAAATCTGACCATTCCACGAGTAAAGTGTTTCTTTTCAAAAGACTTTATTGTCTGTGTCCCCCTCTTACTCACTCCTAGAATAGATGGTGTTTATAAATCTGTGAAATAAAATAGAACTTATACGATTTTTTAAAATGCATTTATCATGGGCCAAGAGACAGATACATAGGTATCAAACTTGGGTTACTGACCCAAGTTTGATACCTAGCATCATGTACGATCAGAATATGGCTCACAAGTGACCCCTGTGCACAGAGACAGGGTTAAAACAGCACCAGGTGTGATCCCAAAACAAAATCTTAAAATGTAACAATGGGCCTTTAAAATGAAATTAGTCAAAAAATTATTTTTTCATTTTTGGGGCTTTTTAAAAAGTATATTAACTGAATTAATATTTCTATTTTAAAATTCTATTTGATTTCTAGTATGGCAAATTAATTATATATATAATCACAAAAATTTTTTAGAAGCTTTTTGGGTACTCAACTTTTTTGGAAAAACTTTTTTAGGCCAGACCCTGAATGCTCAGGGAATATTACTGGCTCTATGCTGAGGAGCGACTCCTACTGGAGTGACCCCTACTGGAGCTCCAAATAGGGTCACCAAGCATGGCAAGTGTCTTAAAACCTGGACTATCTCTCTGGCTCAGGGGTCCTTAATTTAAAATAAACATTTTTGTTTTTTAGCCCCCAAAAGTTTTAAAGTTCTCTATTCAAGCTCTGCGATTGGTGGAATCTATACAAGAGTGAAGACAGACTCAAATCACAAACTTGGTAAATCATACAAAGTCATAAAGGTGGGAAAGTGATTTTAAGAATTTTTTTAAAAAATGGAAATTGTGAGCTGGAGAGACAGAAAGCTCAAAGGGCGAAGTGCATGCTTTCACGAGGAAGGTCTGGGACAATCTCTAGCACTGCGTGATCTGAAGTACCACCTCATATAATACAGGTTGAATACAGAGCTGGAAGTAGCCCCTAAGCACCTTCAGGTGTTGCCCTCAGGTGTTGCCCAAACCCATTCCTCGCCCCACTTCAAAAAATAGAACTGGGGCTGTAGTGTTAGCACAGCGACTAGGGCGTTTGCCTTGCACGTAGCTGACCCAGGTTCAATTCCCAGCATCTCATATGGTTCCCTGAGCACTGCCAGGGGTGATTCCTGAGTGCAGAGCCAGGAGTAACCCCTGAGCATCGCCGGGTGTGACCCAAAATAAAAAAAAAACTAGAACTGTTACTAGAAGGTTTGATAAAGATTTTTCCCTATAAAGAATATTAATCAAGTATAACAGATTAATTAGTAGATATACATTAGTAATTAATGTAGAAGCAGATAGCACAGCGGGTAGGGCGTTCGCCTTACAAGCGGCCAACATGGCCGACCCGAGTTCGATTCCTCCGCCCCTCTTGGAGAGCCCGGCAAGCTGCCGAGAGTATTCGATATGCCAGACACAGTAACAACAAAGTCTCCAATGGAGACGTTACTGGGCCCGCTCGAGCAAATCGATGATCAACGGGAGGGCCTTTACCTTTACCTTTTATAGTAAACCTAAGATTAGTGGTAACTGGTTTTTTGTTTTGTTTGCTTTTGGGGTCACACCGAGTGATGCTCAGGGGTTACTCCTGGCTCTGCACTCAGGAATTACTCCAAATAGTGCTTGGGGGACTATTTGGGATGCTGGGGATTGACCCAGGTCAGTCGTGTGCTAGGCAAACATCCTACCCACTGTACTATTTTTCCAGCTCCTACTAATGGTAATTGTTAAAAAAATCCAATTTCACTGAAACGTTTATAATCCATTTCCTGACCATTAGCATTGTTCAATAGCAGCAGATACTCCCTGAGAATTCCTTCAGTTGGCAACTATCTTTTCCAGTAGTTTTAAGCCTTTTTACACTTATAGACTAGTGGTTCTCAGACTGGAAACCACTGGTTTAATACATACCAATGTCTGCTACACCTGGAGATTTATTTATTTGTATACTATTCACATGATGTAGACAAATGATTCTCATCAACCTTAATATTAAACCGACTGCATCAGAATCTCTGTGGCAGGACCTAGGCATTAGTATTTAATAGAACTCCAAGTGACACTAATGTAACTGTGCTGGATGAGAGTCGACACAGAGTCTTCTAGACTATTAGATTAGGAATAAAATTAGCTTTTAATTTAAGAATTAACTTTCATATTAAACATCAGTAGAATTAACTTGTATTTCAAAAGCTTGCTCTGGTTTTAAAGGCAGATGTAGAGGGGAAAGACAGGAAACTAGGAAGGAGAGCACAAAGAGGTAGAGCCATGCAAGGTCCTGCATTTGATTCCTGAAACACAGCAGCCCCTAGCACTCTGGGGTGTGGCCCTAAAACACTGAGAGGCCACTTTGAAAACAAAAACAAAACGAATAACAACTATATATATATGTATATATCAATAAAGTTAGTTGAGTAAAAGTTTCGTTAAGATGGTGATGGACAATGCCAAGGGTATGATTTTTCAGACACAGACAATAGTTAAGTACAGAGCAAAGGGAAGAGAGAACATACAAAAGAGGGGGGAAATTCACAAGTGTAAACTGCTCCAAAACATCTATCAATTTATGAGTATTTTACTAAAGAATTTATTTACTTCCATATCTATCTATCTATAAACTAAAGGTTTATTCAACTGGGGTCAGAGGGATAGCACAGCAAGTAGGGCGTTTGCCTTGCACACAGCTAACCAGGGGCCCCATCCTTGGCATCTCACATGGTCCCCAAAGCACCATCAAGCGTAATTTCAGAGTACAAAGCCCAGAGTAGCCCCTCAGCATTGCTGGGTGTGACACAAAAGGCCAAAAACAAAACAAAAACTGATTTATTCAACAAAAAAAAAAGTCATCTTTAACTGCCCTGAAGATTAACCTGCAAACTCAGTATTTTCAGTTACATTAACTAGTCCAAACAAAGTTTGTCATACCTTTTTATTGGAACATGCTATTTTTAAACCAAATGTCAATAAAAATTGATAGAAATATAGCAATAATTATCCTAATTCTAAATTATTTAAAACAATTACTATTCAAACAACTTATTTTCAAGTAACTCTCTTCAGCATTTAACTTAAAAGCGGAACAGACCAGGCCAGAGAGAGAATACAGGTGGGGGTAGGGTGCTTGCCTTGCATGATTTGTCCAACCCAGGTATGATCCCCAACACTCAATATGGTCCCCTGAGCCCCACCAGAAATGATCTGAGTAAAGAGTAAAGAGCAAGGTCTGAGTACCACTGCATAATGCCCCTACTTCCTGCTCCCCCCAAATCTGGATAGATTATATACATTACAAATTCTTTCATTTGCTAGCACCCATACCTTTTCACCAGTAGGAAGACCGGCTGTCATGTTATTTTTACCTTAGTAGTGCTTTGCATTTTCCCTTCTTTGTGGCAATGGGGATTGAACCTAAGCCTTCAAACTCAAATCCATACAACAGTAATCATTGTAGTGTTGCTTTTACAAGATGAATTACACTTTATGTCCATCTATCAAAAGTAGGAAAACACCCGGCTCTATTCCTATTCATATTTTTATCCATCCATATTCCTATTTATCTTATTCTTATTCATCTCAGATACTTCAAGTATTAAAACAGTTATCAGTGATTTAGTTTCCAGTTTTAGTTAACTTTGCAAAGGTATGATAATCCAGATTTTATTGGAAAATGGAAATATTTCACTTAAAGGAGAAACTCACCTTTCAAAAGATGGTTGAGATCCATGGTGTCATGGAATGTTCTTTGTTTACTTCTCTGATCTAAATTGGACTCTAACACTGATGACTGCACGTTGAGATTGAATCCAGTCTTTTTCCCTTTTCTGCCTGATTTTGAACTCGTTTTTAAGTCTTCAACATTCTCATATACTTCTTGACTCACATTTTCTTGTCTTTTAACTTTCACTTTTTGATCACTTGATAGTCCTAGTTCAAAAGATTGAGCAGGGCTGATGCCTGGAGATGATAAAGGAGTTACATCTGTCACTGTTTCTTCCGATTCCTCAGCACCGTCACCAACTTTTGATTTAGTGTTTAAAGGCTGGATTCCTGTTGATTTTACTCCTGGTTTGTATTTCTGTTTTGGTGACAAGTGGGTTACACTGGGTCCATGTTTCTTTACTAATGGAGGTGAATCAGAGAAATCTGACCCTGGATCTGAACAATCTGTACCTAAACTTGAAGATGAGGACAAAGAGGAAGGGGAGGAAGAAGAACTATTTTTGGAGTATTTTTTACTTACACCTTTCTTATGATTATTAGATGGTTTAGTTGACTTGGACCTAACAAGATGCTTTTTCCCATCATCACTGCTTTCCTCTCCATCTGTGTAATAATTGTTTTCACCCTTTTTTATAATTTTAGGAACACCATTTGGAATGGGCAAGTGTGTTTTATGTCCTGTTGTAGCATCACAAACTTTTTTTGATCTTGAAGAAGTGGTCAATGATAAGGAATTTCTTATTTTTATATTATTTTCTACAGGGCGTTGTTCTGGAGTTATTTTCTCTCTTCTTTCATTTCCTTCATCATTCAGGTAATTTTTCTTTTCTTCTACTCCAAATTTTAAGTCTGTACTTTCTGTATCCGTATCTGTATCTATTTGTTCTTTAGAATTATCCTTTTGTTTGTCAAAAACTAAATTATTTTTACATGTCTTTGCATCTTCAAAGTCACTGTCAAAAAATGAATGGTCAACTTCACCTTCTGATACATCTCCAAATCGATCCATCATAGCAAAAATATATCTGAAAATAAGAAGAACCATCAAACTGGAGTATTTTTCAAATAATTTTCATTTTTGTATAATTATATAAATTAAGTGAAAGAATTCTAGTTTATATATTAAAAGAACGGTTACAAAACTAAACCCACCAGTGATAATAGACTAAAAAGGCAGTATGTACCACTAGCTTGAAAAATAAACAAGTCAACAGCCCTGGGGAGGGGGACAGGACAGTAGCAGCTTTGGATGCAAGTGGGGGCACTTCCTACTTATATGCTTAAAGATAGGAAAGCTGAATATTTTTTTTTCCTCCCAGAATAGGAGGCAGGTCATCTAAATGTGAGAATTTCTGGTCTACAGTATTGTATTATTGTCCACTCCCCGCAATATTAAAATATGCCTTACTGGCAATAAAATGAAGGTTTTACTTTAGAGAGTTCCTACCACTGCTCTAATGTGACACCACCGGGGATAATATACTTTTGTTTTTTCTCATATATAATTCACTCCTTGCTAAACACTAAACACACAATTTATTTTTTAAAAAATATCTTAACATGAGGGGAAAGACAGAAACAAAAGGTAAGCAAAAGTTTGAAATTTTTAAAAGATTTTCTGGGTCACAACAGGCTGTGCTCAGGGTTGGAGAGATAGTACAGTGGGCGGCATGCTTGCCTTGCATGCAGCAGAACAGGGTTTGATCCCCAGCACCTCATATGGTCTCCTGAGCACTGCCTGAAGTGATTCCTAAGTGTAAAATCAGAAATAAAACCTGAGCACCACCAAATCTGTCCCTCAAACAAATACTAAGTAAAAAAAAAAATTTCTGGGGGTTGTAAGTACTTAATCAAATTGTCTTTTCTTTAAATCAAAAACAAAAAAACAAAAAAACTTAGTCTGTATCTATACTGAAACTGAAATCAAAGCCTAACTTTTCAGTTTAGAAAAACTGAATCTTGTCTCCTTTAAAATCATGTGGCAATTTTTTCAGAGCCAGAAAGTGCAAAACCTTTCCAATCAGTATACTCTTTTCTGAAAGTCTGGCTACAAATATAATGCTGAAAAAGAGAAAATGATATTAACTGCAGGACTGCTTGTAATACTAAAACACCTGAAAAGGAGTATTATTTTTCCATTAAAGTAATTATTCAAATCAGGAATTATTAAAATAAAATGGCATTGCCCATTTATAAATACATTAACTTTTTAAATTTTTTGACATCCAAAATGAAAATTAATAAATAAATGAAGAGTTAGGATCAGAAACACCAGGCAGATAAAAATAAGCAAACAGATCTAAAAGAAATACAAGTCAAATGTTTATGAAAGATCAGTGTAGTCAGCAGAAATGACATCTGTACCTATATGTTCATTGCAGCACTGTTCACAATAGCCAAAATCTGGAAACAATCCAAGTGCCCTAGAACAGATGACTGGTTAAAGAAACTTTGGTACATCTACACAATGGAATACTATGCAGCTGTCAGGAGAGATGTAGTCATGAACTTTGCTTATAAATGGATAGACATGGAGAGAGCATTATGTGAAGTGAAATGAATCAGAAAAAGAGGGACAGACACAGAAGGACTGCACTCATTTGTGGAGTATATAACAACATAACATGAGGCTGACACCTAAGGATAGTAAATACACAGTACAGGAAAACTGCTCCATAGCTGGAAGCCTGCATCATGAGCAAAGGGGAGAAGACAGCTGGAATCGAGAAGGGATCACTAAGAATATGATGGCTTGAGGAACTGGTCGGGATGGGAGATTTGTGCTGAAAGTAGATAAAGGGCCAAACATGATGGCCACTCGGTGTCTCTATTGCAAACCATAATGCCCAAAAGTAGAGAAAGATTATGGGGAATGTCTGCCATGGAGGCAGGGGAAGGGTTGGGAAGGGGGGAGGGCATACCAGGGATACTGATGGTGGGAAATGTGCACTGGTGGAGGGATGGGTGTCTGATCATTGTGTGATTGTAACCCAAACATGAAAGCTTGTAACTATCTCACAGTGATTCAATAAAATTAAAAAAAAATCAGTGTAATTGGTTGATGAGTAAATGGAGAATGGAGCAAGACAGGATATGGCACGTAGACAGAAATTATATTTTTATAGTCCATACATTACTATAAGAGATTTGTATTTTAATTGACTGTATTTTAATTGACCACTTCCATGGTGGCAGTCAATTAAAATACAAAACCCTTATAGAAATGTAATTTAACGATGCAATGGAAAAATGTACTAACATAATGAAATCTCAAGAGAAATAAGAGCTATTTAAAAAGAACTATGTATTAATTTATCAAAATGAAGATGAAAAAGAATACACAAACTTGAAAATAGACTCCTCACTGTTTTTCCTTTTCCACGTTTTATTTTTAGATAACTTTTTTGGTTTGCTTTTGGGCCATACCTGGTGGTGCTCAGGGTTTACTCCAAGTTCTGAGCTCAAAGACTACTCCTGACATGGCTTGGGGGACCAGACTGGGTACTGGAGATTGAACAGGGTTAGCCACACAAGCACCTTACCTGCTGTACTCACTTCAGACCCCCACTGTTTTTCAGTTATCTTGCTACCTTCAAATGGCATTTCTTTTCCTTTTATAGAGAGAACTTAAGAATTTGGTTTTCGTGCAATAAATCCCTTTAACTATCAGTAGTTTGACACAGTCAATTGCTTGTTTAATTTTTGTATTTTGCGCCACACCTGGCTTTGCTCAGGGCTTATTCCTGGCTCTATGCTCAGGGATCACTCCTAGACAGCCTCAGGATACTATACCTGGGGGTGGAAAGGCTGCATGCAAGGCAAGTGTTTTACTTCCTATACTATCTCTCATGCCCCATGAAACTCTTTATTCTTCCTTAAAATCAAAGTGATAGTCTAGCTGGGCAGATCATTCTTGGTTCAGAGACTTTTTCAGTCAGTTCTTTATATATATCATGTCACTGACTTGCATGAGTGCTACGTCTTGTCCTCTTGCCATTTTTAGGATTCTCTTTGATTTTTATCATTTTTACTATACGGTATGTCTTGGGGCTCACTGTTTGGATTTGTTTGGAATACATTATTCTGGTAACTGCTTTTTTATTCACTGCGTGGAAGCTCTTGGTTAATATTTCTTCTAGAATTCTGCCCTTTTCATTCTCTTCTGAATCCCTATGAAGTGAATGCTGTTATCTTGGGGCTGTCCTATATATACAGTTCTTGAGCTATTTTCACTGCTTTAATTTCTTCCTTTTTTCCTGGTTTTTGATGGTTTCCACTTTCAAAAATCTCAGTAATTTTTGGTTTATCGCTGCTTTCCAGCCCTTGTATAGTACAGCCCAGCAACTATATTTTCTAGCTCTACGATTTCTATACAGACTTTACTCAAACAGTCTCTAAAAGTTTGTTGAGGTTCTCTTCCACTGATGTCATTTTAGTGAGCATCTTGAGAGTTTTGCTGTTATGAGGAGTACTTTGTAGGCTTAATTCATCAGTGTGATACATCCACCTCCCCATCTGGGATGGTGCTCCCTGGAGACTGGGTTGCCACTGCCAAAAGCAACTCTACTCCCTGCGAGCCTGGGATAGTTTACTTGATGACGGTGTACAACTCTTTCTCAGGCACACACAATCACAACTGATGACACTCCCGTCCCCCCCCCCCAACCCATCTGCGTTATGCAGTCTCGCAGTCTGCAAAAGTTGGAAGCATCTGCCTCCGTCAGTGGTCACAGTTCATGAGCCTGTGATGCAGAGCCCAGTGCCTTTTGAGATTCTTCTTGCTTTCCATTAGGTTCTTAATCATCCAATAAATCCTTTCATTAAAACACTCGGACAGGGGCCGGAGAGATAGTAAAAAGGGGAAGGACACCTGCTTTGCAAGCTGCCGATCCGGGTTTGATCCCTGGCACCAGACATGGTCCCGACTCCCGCGAGGGGTGACCCCTGAGCAGGGCCGTGCCAGGGGTAAGCCCGGAGCACCACCGGATGCGGCTCCCCAAACCAACACAAATCACCACCATCCACTCGGAAGATCTAACTTCTCCGGGGGAAAAAAGTTCCAGCGACCCCATCCACGAGGCAATCCTTTCAGTAGGACACTGCGTCAAAGCTCCTGCGATTCGACGGACAGGAGCGAGTCATCAAAACGGCCCCCTTCGCAGTCCAGAGGGGAAAAGTGGACGTTTCAAAGGAAAAGGCTCCTACGACCCCAAACCACCTTCCTGCCGCCCAAGGGGACCGAGGACGTCGGGTTGGTCCGGCACGACGCTCGCTGCCCCGCGACCTCCGCAGAACGCGCGCTGGGCTCCGGCTGTTGCTGCTTCAGAGGCGTCTCCGTGGTGGGGGCGACGACGGGCCAACGAGGTGGGCGGACGAGGCGACCCCCCAAAAGAAAACCCGGGCCCCCCCCCCCCCCGCTGTGGAAATACCTGTTTTGCTTCCAGGGAGTCGGGGCTCCGCGCGGGTCCGACTCCAGGCCCCCCGCTCCGAGGAGGAAGCGGAAGGTGAAGGACAGCCCCTCAGAGGCCCTCAGGGTGAGGGTTCGGGTTCGGGCGGCGGGCGGGCGGGCGGGAGCGACGGGCCGGCCGCGCACTAGCTCGGCGGCCCCCGCAGCCCCCGCGCCATGCCGGAGGGCGTCCCTGAGGGGCAGGCCGGCCGCGCCGCCGGGGGTGGGGGGTCCGCGCCGCCGCGGAGGGGAGACGGAGGCGGAGGCGGAGCGACGCCGCCGGCCTGCTTTGCCCGCGCCCCCTCACAGGCTTCCCGGCCACGACCCTCCCCCGAAGCGCCCGCCGCGGTCCGCGATCTCAACCAGAAAACGGACGCCGGACGGAGCGCGCGGCGGGTGGGCGGGGCGAAAGGGGAGGGGGAGGGGGAGGGGAGGGGGGGAGGGGAGGGGTCCCGCGCGCCGCTCACCTGGCTCCCGCCGCCGCCGCCGCCGCCGCCTCCCTGACGCGCGCCTGCGCACGGCGCCCGCCCCGCCCCGCCCCGCCCCGCCGAGGCGCTTCCGGAACTTCCGGAGGCGGGACGAGCCGGGGTCGCGCGCAGGCGCCGGGGGGCGGAGTCTCGAGGCCGGCGGAAGCGGCGGCGGCGGCGGCGGCTGTGAGGCGACGGCTTGGACGCGTCTGTCGGCCGCGGGCGTCATAGACTCCGAGTGTGCCCGCCCGCCCGCCCGAGGCGCCGGGAAGGCCCCCGGCCCCGCCCCGCTGAGTGCCCCTGGCCCCGGGAGACGGAGCTGGCCCGGGTGGCGTGGAGGAGTGGATGGCCCCGGCCTGCAGGGTCGCGCGCTCCGCCCAGCCCTTACTGACGAAATCTCCGTGAGAGAAAGTTGTCCCGGATTAGGTTTCAGTCACACGGGGTTCCAACGCGCCTCCCGTCACCTGTGTACGTTTCCCACACCAATATCCTCAGTTTCCCTCCTTGCCCCCCTCCTACCCTGTTTGTATTAGTTCCTCGTGTCAGTTCAATCTCAGGAGCTTTGATGGGCCATACTGCTAAAAGGATTGAAGGATTGCTAAGTGGATGGGGTTGATGGAGCATTTTTCCACCCCAGTCTTCTCTTCTCTCTCTCTCGTTCTCTCTCTGTCTCCCCTTCTCTTTTTGTCTCCCCACTCTCTCTGTCTCCCTCTCTCTGTGTCTTCCCCACCCTCCCCCCACCCCCAACCAACCTCCTTTTGGTCAAGCATTCAATTCTTGCCCAGAGTAATTCATTTCCAACTCATTGTCCTACTGGTGCCTTCTCTATCCTAACTGCCCTTTCCCGGCTTTCCCTCCCAGACTTGTGTCAAGATTGGAACAATGAACCCATCCTCCTGGTCCTCATTTCTGTTGTCCATTAGTTAATGGTCTCATACTGTGTTGTTGTTTTTTTGTTCTATCCTACAGACAAGTGCAGTCGTTCCATCAGTCCCTCTCGACTCTTTCACGCTGCATGATTCTCTCCATATCCATTTATAAGCAAATTTCATGACTTCATTTTTCCTAACAGCAGCATAGTATTCCATTGTGCAGATGGTCCATAGTTTCTTTATTCAGTTGTCCGTTCTTGGTCACTCATGTTGTTTCCAGATCTGCCTATCATGAAAAGTGCTGCAATGAATGTAGAAATGCAGATGGCATTTCTGCTGTGTTTTTGGGCCCCAAGGTAGATTTCCAGAAGTGGCATTGCTGGGTCATAGGGAAGCCCACTGCTAGGAATGCCAAGGGGACTGTGTCCTATGGTTAGAATGACTCATGGAAGAGAGAAAGTAGCTTTAATGATCTCTTAATTTCTTAGCCCAGTTTCCCTTCCATAGTCCTTCCCTTTTTAAAAAAAAATCTATTTAAATATATTTAATTTTTCATCAAAGATGAACTGTCTGAGTTCATCATGTCAACCAAGACCATCCATGGTAACTCACAGTTCCAAAAGGCCGAATCTAAACGTTGGACATGGGAGTCTCCCAGTGGACAGTTCCACAATGAAATAGATCACATCATATTCAATCGATGGTTTTGCCTGACCAATGTTGCTGTTGTCCCCAAATTCCAAACGGGATCGGACCACCGTCTCCTTCGTGCAAAATTCTATTTCACAGAGCGGGGAGTAAGGAATGCAAAGTTTAAGAAGAGAACTCCCAGAATGACCACCAACTGGGAACTCTTTGGCTCTGTTGCGGCAACATGGGAAGATGCCGTCATTGACAACACTGACAAGGAATACAATCGACTGGTTCAACACCTCCATGATTGTGCAAGGAATGCCAAGAGAGAGATAACCATAAAAAAAAAGCCTTTCTTCGAACACTCTTGAGCTTATTCACCAATGTGGCTTGGCTCATGCCTCAGGCAACTGCAAGCAGATGTCCAAGCTCACAAAACAGTGCAGAGAAGCAGTCAAGGATGACCTCAAAGACAGAAGAGAAGCAGTTCTGGTAGATGTGGCAGAAGCCGGGAAAAGCATTCGTAACGCCCGCCTGTCCTTCACCAACTAAAAGACCAAGATGACTGCCCTCCGATGTCCTGATGGATCTATCACATCTTCCAGAAGGGCAATGGAGAAGATTATTCATGACTTCTACTCAGATCTCTTTAATAGCCATGTCCACATGCCCACCTACCAAATTCCGCAGGATGAATATGTCATTCCCAACGTTCTCCCTTCTGAAATCTGACACACCATCTTGTCGGTAAAGAAACAAAGAGCACCTGGCCCAGACAAGGTCAGACCTGAACACCTGAAGAACCTATCATTAGTACTCATCAATACACTGGCTCGGCTCTTCACATGCTACCTGTCTGAATGCAACGTTCCGTCCCAAAGGAAAACCAGCAGGACTGTACTACTATACAAGAAGGGAGACATCCCTGACATTGGCAACTATCGCCCAATCTGCCTATTGTCTGTCATCTACAAGCTGTTCACTCAAGTCATCATGAATAGGATTGGAAGAACACTAGATGAAGGACAACCATGCGAGCAAGCCAGGTTCCGAAAAGGATTCAGCACCATCGACCATATCCACACGATAACCAAGCTCATTGAGGTTTCTCGGGAGTTCAAGATGCCACTCTGTCTAACATTCATTGATTTAAAGAAGGCCTTTGATTCTGTTAAGATGGAAGCAGTCATCAAAGCACTAGCCAATCAGAGCGTTCAAACTCAATTCATCAGGAGGCTCTGTGAGCTGTATTATGGATTCACTACTAGGATCTCACCTTCCTACAAAGAAGTGATCATCCATGTCAAGAGAGGAGTTTGGCAGGGTGATACTATTTCACCGAAACTCTTCAGTGCCAAGGCATCGAAAATCAGATGGGCTGGACACGTAATGAGACTTAGAGACGACCACTGGACTAGAGCCATTACAGACTGGATTCCACGGGATGTCAAAAGATCGCATGGACGCCCACCTACGAGATGGTCAGACTTCTTCATCAAGACCCTTAATGATCGGTTTGAAGCTCTTCATGTTCCTAGAATGAGCAGATGCCATTGGGCTATGCTAGCACGCAATAGGGATGAATGGAGATGTTACTGGTGCCTGCTCGAGCAAATCAATGAGTAACAGGGTATCGAGTGATATTTAAATATAATTTAAGTAGCACAGTGGTAGGGCATTTGCCTTGTGCGTTGCCAGCCTTGCCTAGCTGGGTTCAATTCCTCCGCCCTCTTGGAGAGCCCGGCAAGCTACGGAGAGTATCTCGCCCACACAGCAAAGCCTGGCAAGCTACCCGTGATGTATTCGATTTGCCAAACACAGTAACAACAAGTTTCACAATGGAGATATTACTGGGCCTGCCCGAGCAAATTGATGAACAATGGGAGGACAGTGCTACAGTGCTACAGTCCTTCCCAATGGCCAAGAGCCCTTAGCAGGACTGAAGCTCCAGGAGCAGGAAGTGATGAAGACGGTCCAGTGCAATTGGTGGCCCAAATACACTGCATGTCCCTGGTCTGCGATGATGGTAGTGTACACAATGCAGTCTCCTTCCTCTGGCTCCAACCTGATGACTTCCTGACCTGGTCTCAGATGTATGTAATTACCAGGTGACTGGGAAGCCCAGCTCAGCTACCTGGGAAGCCTAGCTCAGCTACAGCTTTCTCTCACCACCTGCTTTCGGTGGTCTTTCTTTACTCTCTCCCCAAGCCCCTGCATTGGGGGTAGCAATCACACCTCAGTCTGGTACCACAATCAACATATCAAAGCCCTTCCTGGTCACTGATCAGGCTCGAGGGCAAAATACCACTTAGGGGGTTTTCTCCTTTCCTTAATCCAATAACTTAATTAACATCTTAATTAACATCTTAATTCTATTTCTTAATATTAGTTATTTTGTATGGACACAGTAAGATACATTAAGCTTGTAAGGTGCCTCTCCTGGGGACATATCTCAGACTACAGTGCTCAGGGCAGATTAATCTTTCCTAACCCTAGCAGGGTCTTAATCTAGTTGTTACATTTTGGATTGTGACAGAATTTGTCCATGACATGTTCTTAACTTGTAATAAAGTATTATGACACTTTTGCATGGTCCATTTTGATGCCAGGGTAGCTCAAAGCTTTCCCTGCAACCATCCAGTGGCAAAACCTCGTTGGGATCCTGCTTTTGGGGTGCTAAGGAAGTAAGGGCAATTGAGGCTGAGGTCCAGAAGAGAGATGCCCAAGAGTGAATATTATTCAGAGTCAATTAGCTCCCACGTTACAAAAATATAGTAGTAACTGTCTTCCTGTGTCTTTACAAAAAGGACATTGCTCTGAATTAACTATGCAAAGGACTTAAGAAGAGAAAAGCAATATTCACAAGTTAACAGAGTCTGATTATGAGATAAAGGTAATTGCTCTGGTAATTGATCAGAGCAATTACCTTTATCTGCTTCCTCAAGCACAGTGCAAAGAAAGAGGTTACAAATAAACACAGGGGAATGGGAGCACTGTGTGGGAGTAACCCAATAAACCTAAGCTCCCTGTTTCAAGGCAGAAAGGACAAACAAATGTTATCCTACAAGATGCTTGTCCAGGAAGTGAGAAGAAGCAGTTCATCATCACCTGAGCTCAAGATTCCACACCTAGCAAGTTCAAAAA